ATACAAATATGTCCAAAAATGCTCTTACATGTTCAAAAGTAGTGATGTCATGACTTCAAAGTTTTAAAATGATGATTAGCTGAATTTACCAAACTCCTTTTGAATAAACTATATATTAAATCGTGTTCCTGCTTCGAAATGTACGTTTTGTTTTAGTACAAAACTGCATAGTGGGTCACCGTCGTAACTCGCAGGTTTAGCCCCTAATCCTTGTTTGATAAACCCTCAAGCTTCCCATTACGTCATCACGGGATACATGGCTGATATAAAACAAAAAAATAAAGATAAACTTCTTAAGTAAAATAAGGAATAATTAGTACAGAGACTAAGATATCCTTAAGTAAAATTCAGTAATGATTAGTACAGAGAGTAAGTTATCCTTAAGTAAAATATAGAATAATTAGTACAGGGAATTGAATCCCAGACTTTAGCTTTGTGAGTCCGTAAACTTACTGCTAACCCCTTAAAAATCATAGATGGTCGACTATGTAAATGACTATGTGCATTACTGTCAAGCAACTAACAACAACTTTCTTGATATTCTGTTTTCAACTAAAATATTCAACAAAAAAAAACTGAAGTGTTTCCCGTTTTCAAGGAATTACTCTTGGGTATTTGAAATCATCTGATAATCAGCAAGTCAAATCTTGTATATGGTTAGCAACTACTGCAGAGAGGTAAATATTGTATATAGTTAGCAACTACTGCAGAGAGGTAAATATTGTATATAGTTAGCAACTACTCCAGAGAGGTAAAGAACAACCTTACTCTTTGTGCCTGCATATTTTGAACAGTGTATAAATGTATTTAACAAGTAGTTTTCCCAAACGGTGTATCTACACCTCATATATATATATATGATAAGCATTAAAAATATTTTAGTGAATATTCCATTGTCAGTCCTAGTTGTCACCTTAATGTCATAGTTATTCCTGTAAAATGTGGATCAGTCAACGCAAAATTTCTCCATAAAAATAACAAACTGTAAAGAAATTTTCATGTTACAGAAAGAAGGTGTGTATGATTTTGAAAGGATGTCTATCTGAAAGACATTATGCTGTAGTGGAAACTCAACTCAGATCAATGTCATCTGGACAAACGAAGACTTGTTTGCCATTACATTTTATTTGAAGTTATATAGATGATTTTTTATATGGGCTTCAACAGCTATTACTACAATCTAGTTGGTTGGCTCCGTAATTAAAATTCATCGTTAATTAAGTGATAACGATGAAGTTTATAAAATATGTTTGTAGAAACTTCGTTCACAACTCACTCACATGCGAGTAAAACATAAATGTTTACTGAGGTGAGTTAATAATAATAAGTGAAACTAAAATTTGGCACTCAGTACCCATCTATGTAGTTACTACGAAATATAAATGTGGCTGTTAATGTACGTTCCCTGTTACCTGTACTCTTGTCTTATTGGATACTAAAACTCATCTAGGATAACCTTATGCGTAACATAGCGTTATCTTAAGTAGCTAGCTTCAGAGAATTCTAGATTATCCTAATGCTTCTGCTGACAAATTCGATATCACAGTCAGACCACAGTGCTGCTCCAAGTGTTGCTATATATGTAAGGTAAACTCATGGACTACCTGCGTGCTGGGTCGGTAGCTTTTGAAAAAGAAAAGCCTGCAATTAGTGCCAACATTCGTAAACTGGTTCTGTACACGCGATCATTGTTTCCAGTCTTATCTTTTCAAGTCTTTAGTTGATCTAGGAATTCTTTTCTTGTTTTTTTATCTTCAATAAAATCACAAAATTTATTATTATATTTCTATTTCGCTTTTGAACAGAAAGTGTGCAAAAACATGAACTTTAGAACGACATTTTGGATGTGGTTTTGGACATACATGCATGCTTGATAAAAAACAAGACATCTGACAAAAATAGATAAAATTAGATTATATTCGATCGATGTGCAGTCATGCTTCTAAATTTTCTAAATTGAATTATCAGCCATTTGATTATCGCTGTTTCAACAGTTAGCCGAAGTAAAGATCTACTCTATCAGACCAAATCATATTTCGAACTGCAACTTGTACGCCTTCGCCATCGTTATTATCATTCTTATAACACTAATTGTGATATGATTATGGGTTCTTGAGTTGTTTTTACCTCTGATCAAACAAGGAAAGCTGAAAACGTTTAGAAGTAATAATTATTCTTCATTACCCTTGCTTTTTGGACTTAAATGTATTCAGTTTTTAAGCTCCAAAAGAAATCTCTGGTAAGTTTGGTGTACGGTTCTCTCTGTTCCCAATTTATCGTCACAAACCAAGAAGAAAATACATTTTTCGTTTTATTTACTGCGACAGGCTAGTAACTGAGATGGTTTATAACACACAAAAAACTTATAGGATAAATATTATTGAAATCAAAGTAGCTTTGGTTACTGGTATAAAAGACTAACATGCAGAAAAAAATATTAGTTAACACTACTTACAAGTGATGAACAAACATTATATAATTTAAAGTTGTAAAATGTAGTATATAGACTAGTATATTTCACATTTAGTAAACAATTATAATATTCATATATTTTTGTAATAACTATTTTCGGAATTTTCATTCTTTGTAAATGAGTTAAAAAAACTTGAAATGACTTAATAGAAACTTCTTCCAGAAATGTAAAAGTAAAAATGGCACCTAATCAATGTCTACAAATTTGTGTTAAAAATGAAAAAGTGTAACTGAAATATAATGACGAAAATAATTAAACTAACTCTTCAAAAAGCACCATTCGATACATTTGCAGCAAATGTATAATACCGGAGAAATAAGCTTGCTTGATTTCTTTTGTTTTCGTTGTTTTTTATTTGAATGTAATAATGCTGTTAATCAGGACTCTACTAGTTCAGTGTCTTTGGACATGCCTGCACGCTACAGACACCCTCCAGGCATAGCTTTGGTAGTAGGGGCTGATTCTTGTTGTGATCAGAGACATCACTAATGACACATATTAATCATATCCAGTAATTAACTCAGTCCTCGTCTTTTATTCAACCTAGTATGCCTTCCAGTTATATTCGGCACCCTATAATCTTAAATATTATTGCAATTGTCGTGGTGTAAAAAACTTCGTTAACAAGGCTTAACATTTTTATTTTTCCAGTTTCTCGCTGTAAAAGGGACTAGGTTCTGGACCACTGTCTATTGTTTAGTTCTCAGAACACAAAACCCGATCTTGTAATTCAACAATAATTCCCAGGAAGATAAAAAGATTACTGGTGGTACATTGTAAAAAGTGTATGTCATTGATACTTTTCCGCTTTCAGAGGCACATGGCACATGACTAAAAATTCTTAGAAATTTTGTCTTTTTCATTCTTCCTTTACATAAAATGCGATATGATCTCCTCTTTAGTAGTTTCAACGTTGCAAATTCAGTCTTATTCATAATACCTTACTATATTTTATGTATCAAACAATTTACTGTCAAAATGGGATTTTGTCTGTGAGCCTGGTATTACTAAAAATGTTTTATAAAATTTTACCAAGATTTGATTTTGTATTAATGCTAAAAATATTCTCAAGATTTTTCTTTATTGTGTATCAGAATACCTAATCTTCAAATAACTTGTTCACACATGAAGCAGATGGTTCTTAATTTATGTATTCAATTGGATGAGGATTCGCAAAAGTCAAACACTTTAACGAACCCAGTGGTTCAGTGGTAAGCTTCAAGACTTATAACAAACAAAAGTTGATGTTCGATCCCTGTTGTAGGCAAAACGCAGATATCCCATGGTGCAGCTTTGGATTTTGATAATGGTTGTGACAGCAAATTTGTGGTGTTTGCATCTTGTTATGCATTAGAATTTCAAATAGCCTGAAATTGAATTAACTGATAAATTTAAATTTAGTAGTTAAATTGTACTTTGGATTTAGTAGTTGAATTAAAGCCGATATATAGTCAGCTTATGATATTTGCCAAAACGATTGATACACGCAGTTTTCTTTTTTAACACAAATACGTTTTAATATACACACAACAATATAATTTGCAATAACAGTTATTACAAATAGTTATTGCAAACAATGATTTATATACAAAAGTTTAACAAAATTACAAGCAATATAAAGTCTTCCTTTTAGTCTGGAACTTATTCGATATCTTATCGAGGGTTCACGATGAGCTAGTTGATTACGAGTGGACGTAGTTACAATTCACTTGACGGGAAGCTAGCTAGCTTTGTCCTTCGTTATTTATCAGCCACACACACCGGGTTTTCCACCGTGACGTTATGTAATGTTTTCATAAAAATACTAATGTCCGATGAGAATCCACTGAAATGAGTTGTAATGTTTGAACTTTGTAAAGGCTACTGGTCAAATATCTGAAGTTTTCCGATTGATAAGCCTTATAATAATCACAGTTACAGCTTCCAAAGTTGGTAGCACACTGACTATAGCAAACTAATAATAGATACTCTCTTTTTGGCGCGTCGCGTTGGTTATACGTATAAGCGTATGGAGGTTTTCTAGAAATTTCAGTATTACGTAACAATAATGGCACTAACACAAGCGTTTACGTACACATATATTGTTGATTCCTACTCTCGAGAATCTTCTACAACTTTGGAGAATAGGCGGAAGTTTCGCAATACATATTTAACAGTATAAGCCATGTATGTTTTTAAATATAAAATTAATTCAAACAAACGTTATATTAAAATAAATATATATTAACAAATTCGTTATAATTTTGAAACATTTAATATCTTAAACCTTTCTTTTTAAATATTTAAGTAACAAGTAATCATTTTCTGTTCCTTTATATTATAGAAAAAGAAAACTGCCAACAGACAGCATTTCTAACATTTATTAAAATTTAAAATAAGTACTATTAAATAATTTCTACACTCGGTATCTAATAAATGTACCTTTAGAATTTTTCAGTAAAATATTTCATTATTTGTCTACAAAATACAGAATATTGAGGAGTTATTAAATTCATTTTTTAAAAAATTATATGTTGTTTTTCCTTAGGTGTGGTTCCAAAACCGCAGAGCCAAATGGAGAAAACAGGAAAAAGCAGTTGGGAACATTACCCAGACTCCAGGTTACAATCCATACTCTATTACGCCTCCAAATTCTACTTCTACAAACACGCTTGGACCACCAAATTCATTTTCTTCGCTTAACTTTGCTAGAAAGCCATATGATGCTGCGCTTTTCAGCGCCACTTCGCGACTACCTTCTGCATATTTATCGCCTGCAGCCACAGGCTTGTTGCCACTGGCTGGAGCCTATCTGGGACCATCAGCATACGCATTGCGTGATCTAGCATCGTACCCAAGTTCTCTCGTACCTCCAACAATAGCAGCTCCTTTTTCAACTCCCTATCCAGCTACTTCTTTCCAAACGTTGCTGGCTAACTTATCGGCTCAAAGCAGACCAAAGTTGCCAGGCGAAGGGACCAATGAACATTACACAGAAATTCTCAGCCATTTGCCTTCAGTCTCATCAGCTACAGGAATTTTACCGGGGACTCTAAACTTTGACCGCCGGAGCTCCAGTATAGCCGCCCTTCGTCAGAAAGCAAGAGAGCATGAGATTCGAATGGAAATTATTCGAAAAGTAAATGGTGAATATATCAGTTGAATGAATCGACAAATCAGCCGTTTCCATATGAAAAACTTTCCATTTTGGAAGTGTCCATTAACTTTGAGGTGTTGCTCTAAACCAAAGATACTTCAACAATTAGTCCGTTGTAAATGTTCCCAATATCTGCATTTCTCTAATATAGACTGTGATTTCCAAAGCCTTTAGAGCTTTCTGTATTCGTCCAACGTGGCAAAGAAAATATGGTCACCTCTGGCCTTGACATTTTAAGCCCCATCTATTAAGAAATGTTTCTGTTTTTAATTCGTTTTGCGTCTTGTAATGGTGCATATCGGCTTCGAGCACGGTAGTAGTAATTTTAGTCACTTGAGAAATACAATAACTGAAAAGCTCTTGCAGTTTCATAAAGAAACTTTGCCCTTATTCACAAAACTAAAGTTTCTTAACTCTGAAATGAAGTTAAAACGAAAAGAAGCGATCTTAATTCCACGAAATACCAAACACACTGCTTTGAAAGTAGTATAGTTCTGTTCAATTCTCTCGAAAAAATGTACGGGAAAACTGTCCACTGCTCAAACTGAATGTTCGTTTCAAGTTACGATTTTGTGAGTATTTATTGCAGCCGTACAAACTGAATCCATCAAAGTCCAAGGTTTCTCGATTTATAACACTTTTAAAAAATAAGGAAGAAATGACTGATTGTTGGTGCATTAATTTTAAGATACTGACATAGCAAAATTAGATGAATGTTTTGGCTTTCTAAGGTTACAGTCATGTGACTGTATAGAATCCAGAACTCGTACTTAAATACAATATGACCTTTAAATAGTAAGCTCTTCGTCATGTATTACTAAAGTTTTTTCGTGTATATGGTCAGAAATTCGTAAGTTATATTTTACAAAAGAATGCTAGATCTGGGCAAATACTATATTATAATAAACTTCATTTACATCCTTAAAATTAAGTATGTATTTTATCTAATTACTCTGTATTCTAACTGTATTTATGAAATACTTATCGTGATTGTGTAATGAGCATTAAGAGTCCGTCCATTGGTTCAAAGAATGATTGTGTTTGTTAATCAGTGTTCGGGATTTTGCATTAGCAGCTTTTCGTCCGCTACTATATATATTATGATACGAAAGTTTTACAGTATATAAAGCGATGCTTTAGCCATTTTAGATGTTCCTGTTTTGAAGATTGGCATTTGTAACAAAACAGTTCTTTAGTTCCTTTATGTTTGTTTCAGGTTTTATAATAAATAACTTTCGTGTAACATATAGACAAAGATATTTCTGTTAAATTGATTTTTTGAACCTCTGTGTTTTTCCTAATATCATGAATGTAATATACATGTTTATTTAATTGATTTGCGATTCAGAAAACATTCCAAATCACTGGCTCACAAAAGCTCTATTGAGCACGAAATAGACTAGTTTTTATAGTTGCTACGACATTTTTTGAATCGTCATTCAAAAATTTTTTTCTGCATTTTGCATTCTGCATTCAAAACATTATTGATCAAAGTAAAACATTGTTTGGTTTCCTTCATACGAATAATTTTTCATACCACTAGTATATACATTTTCAACAAAAACAACGAATGAAAATTTCCAAGGTCACGTCTTCTCAAAAAGGATTTGGTAACGTTAAAAAATGCAGTCTTTCGCAATGCTCTGAGACACGGCTAGATATGTGTACATATAGTATAATAATGAAATAAAGCTTAACGAGCAGCGTCTCCGTTAAATATCATTCATTGTGGACATATAGAGGTTACTTGTCTGTTGTTTAATGAAAAACAAGATCATTACTCTTGTATCTATACATCTTTTCTCCAAAACATTGTGTATGAAGAATGTAAAATTCCATTACGTTTAAATTCATACATTAATATTAAGAGATATAGAACTGGTAATAATACATGCATTGTAAGTCGATACTTTGGAAATCTTTCTGGGAATCTTAATTCTATGAAAACAACATGATTCAAGAATACCTATTACCACAAATTATTCATTGTGAAAAAAAAATAGACGCAAACTGAAATAATTTAAAAAGTAATGGTTATAAGGAAATAATAGATTCAATGCTTACTTCCAGTTAGCTCATTTTTCAAAATAAACAAGCTGCAGTTAATAATGTATTAAGGTATGACATTAAAAAACCGATATAGACATTTTTGTGAAATGATTAAACAAATCAATTTAAAAGTGGAAACCACATTTAAAAATCAATGAGCAAAAAAAAAACAAAAAAAAACTCTCACATCTTTTGCGTGACAAGTATACCGTCTATAAAATATATATGATTCTGTTTTTACTTTTCTGAATCAACATTATCCAGGCAGCCAGTAGTTTAAGTAAGTTATTTATTACTTATCCTATAAGCTGCACATGGTAAATTTGTTGTGCATCTTGTCCTAACTGGTAAATCGGCTAAGACTCATTACAACAAAACATTTCAACAGAGAATATTGAGTAAGGTAACTGGATAAGTCTTAATCAGATAACAATTCTATCTTCTTTCAATTGTCTTAAAGAAGTCTATTGCGTGTGTCTTGACAATTTGCGTGCTCATTTTTTTTTACCCATCCTATGTCGCATTTTCTTTGTTATAATGTTACGCTGTTTAAATTAAATGTGAAAGTAGAACAGACCGTTAAGATAATCAAATGTCATTACTGACGAGCAAAATCCAAGGTTAATTGCTTGGAAATGATGTGGCTTTTTATGTGCTGGAATGAAATAATTGGAAAATTACACATGAAATTACAGAGGGCTCTGTAGGTTATAAATACAATTGGTCGTTTCCTGTTGCGTGTGCCAATTAATCACACGGAGAGACCGATTTCATCGACATTTACTAACTCATGCCTTCAAATGTTTTCTTGTTTTTCACTGTCTATGTAAATGACCTTACAAACACTGAAATGAGCAAGATCGAATTGTTTTTCTATCAAGACATGCGTTAAATTCAAACCAGTCACTCAAGATATAGAATACGCTTGTTTAAAGTTTTCCTGAAACAAATTCTATTACAAAGTACTTGGAAAAGATTTAGCTCTAAGGTAAATGAACACAATATTAAATTCCTTCTTGTAATTTAGTTAATTTGCTTGTTTTAATTTTTTTGTTATATTAAACATTTTAGGTAAGTGTAATGAAATTGTCACGCATGCCTAACTTCAATATTTCTTTGTGCAAAGAAGCTATTTTATAATTAGTTCTTTCATGCACTACATTTTATAAACTTAAACTTCCCTAAAATTTTCCATGAGTTAGATAAATTCTTTAAGCGTGTTAAACTTTTCTTAATCCACCAGAAAAAATAAGTAGTTAATACGTGAAAACAAACAAGTAAAAGCTGTTACGTAAAGTAACATTAACCGGTTAGTTCAAATCATTTTCTATACAAAAGATCAGGAACGAAATTAAAGGATATGTTTGATAATAATTAATAAGATATTCCAAACTTGCCAGGATAAAAACACCTACGCACAGAACGTTGTATATGTGTTGTCAGTGCAACATTTGCTATAGTTTGTCTTTTGAAGTTCGCCGAAAGCTAACCGTCCCTAATTTAGCAGTGAAAGTTTGTTTGTTTGTTTTGGAATTTCGCGCAAAGCTACACGAGGGCTATCT